CTCATTTGACTAAGAAAGGTGTACGGTTCGTGTGGGATGAACACTGTCAAAAAGCTTTTGATGAGCTAAAGAACAAGTTGACTTCTGCACCGGTTCTATCTACTCCACAGAGCGGGATAGAATATCTTGTCTATACAGATACTTCTTTACAAAATCTTGGATGTGTTTTGATGCAGGAGGAGCGACCAATTTCGTATAAATCTCGAAAGCTTAAGCCTCATAAGCTTCATTATCCAACACATGATTTGGAGTTGGCAATTGTAGTCTTTGCCTTACGCATTTTGAGGCATTATCTGTTGGGAGAATCTTTCAGATTATTTAGTGATCACAAAAGTCTACAGTATTTGTTCACTTAGCAGGAGCTGAATATGAGACAGCGTAGATGGTTAGAGTTTGTGAATGACTATCATTTCTCTATACAGTACCATCCAGGGAAAGCGAATGTGATGGCAGATGCACTTAGTCGCCAACCCTATACGAGTCTCTCTGTTTTATTCACTATTGAGTGGAATGTTTTGAAGACCGTTGACGAGTTGTCTGATGCTTTTATTGCTTGCATGGTAGTTACACCTTCTATCATTCACAAAGTTCTGGAAGCATAACTCACGGATCAGCAGTGCATTGACAAAGTTGCAGAGATAGCTTTTGAGGAGGTTCCATTTTACTATATTGGGACTGATGGAGGTTTGAGGTACAAAGGGCGTTTAATGGTACCTTCTGCTGACGATTTGAGGAAGGATGTGATGATTGAGACTTATCACTCTGAGTTTTTCTGTTTATCCAAGAGGAGACAAGATGTATCAAGATATGAAGTGGCAGTTTTGGTGGGCAGGTATGAGAGGGACAATTCTATTTTTGTCTCTCAGTGTAGTACTTATCAGATGGTCAAGATTGATCATAAGAGGCCGTTAGGAGCTCTACAGCCACTACCTATACTAGAGTGGAAGTGGGAGAGTATTTCTATGGATTTTGTGGAGGGATTGCCTAATTCATTTACGGATCACAATTCCATAAATGAATTAGGCAATCGGAGTATGGTGGTGGATTAAAACCGTACTCTTGAGATCACTTTAGGGCTACTAACTCATGGGTACCTTTCCCCTAATGCGCACTATAGTGTAGAGGGACATTCCCCCGTAGTAGAACCGAGTCCTAGCCATGTCAATTCTTAATTGATATCCCAAGTCCCAAAATCAACAAGTTGTGCAAGTCAAGATTGTATCAAAATACAATAAATGCATTAACCACATATCATGCACAACCAAGATTTTGGAACACACAAGTCATGCCCTAAGTTCTCAACTATGATGGCATGTGAAATGTCAAGAAATCAATGTGTGCATTTATATAGACCACAACCAAGATAAATAGCACATGGAATTCATCGAAGCAAATATACCATAAATATAAGATACATGATTCAATTGTATACTAAACAACACATGTGTGAATAAACCATTCCGAAACAAATGAGCATGTTCATTAAGCACATTAATGAAACCAAGATACAAGAAGTCTAGATACATGATATCAAGGCATGATTAACTCGAGGGAGACATAAAAGGAAATTTAATCTACTTAAGGGATTAAATTATCAAGGTTACATGGCAAGTCCAAATGTTCTACGAACAAGTTATATCAAGGATCATGTCAAGGCTAAGTTCAATGTCAAGTTTCAAGTTCATTTCATACACGACACAACCATGTGAGTTAAGTTCCATACAAGAGAAATGAATAAATATAAGTTTCAAAACTTATCCGATTATGCTCAATGTAATACACGTGAATGAACTTATCAAGAAAATCATGAATACAAGGTTAGAAACTTAATCAAGTGCATAGAACCATTAAATGGATTTTAATTATTTTATTTAATTAAAATCTCTAGATTTTGAAAGTCATCCAAATGACCTCAATTTAATATATGTTATACAACATGTCACAACTTGATTTAAAAACACGATACAAGTACATTTCATGCAAGGTATGGCCACGAGTATTAAACTTTAATACTAGAAAAATAATAATTAAAAGGTTTCAAAACCTAATCAAATATTCTAAATTTAATATATGTGAAACTATATGACATGCATATCAAGAATTTCAAGTCAGAAATCCAACGGGATGAATAGTACACTTGGAGCAATTTAATTAATCTAATTAATTAAATATTATTAGATTTCAAAACTTCTCCGATTACTCTCAAATTAAACTATGTTGAAGAGCATGCTAAGGCCTATTATAATATACTATCACATGTTGATTTAAAGCTAGATAAGGCCACATTTAATATTTTATTCAAGATAAATATTAAATAAAATCTTCATTACTTGTCCAAATAATCTAGATTTAATATATATCAATCTACATATCAAGGGGTAATATTCTATTATGCCACATGATTAAACAAAGTTATGGACAACCGGGAAAATTAAACCCTTCACAAGAAAAATAAATAATAAAATCTCTAGATTTTGTGATTCAAGCATGCAACCAAGTTGTATAAGCATCACAAGCATGTAATATAGCAAGAAAGTAAATTATAACACCCCCTACCTCAATTTGAGATGAAAACCCCAAATCCCCACCGGAAGAAAAGTGTTCCGAAACTGCCGAAATCGAAGGGTTTTGTCGGGGACAACACAATCTACATGAATCCGAAGGAAGCCTCATGAAAATCACAACTTGACCTCAAACCCAAACTCAAGAAATGATCAGAAATGAATTCTAATAAGGGGGAATGGTAGAACACGTCGAGGGGGACAAAAAATGTGAAGGCCGAAGACTTTTTACTTAGGAAAAGTATATCAAAGGAGGAGAGAGAAGGTGGCAGCTCCATGGGCATCCATGGCTGCTTCAGGTCGTGCATGGAGAGTGGGGAAGATGAAAAATGAAATATCTCATCCCCCTTTTATAGAAATCTCAAAAAGTGCCCCGAACGGGCCCCACCGGGTCCGGAAAAGTGGATTTTGAGCAAACGTGCTTAAATGGCAAAACTCTGTAAGCGAAAAAGATTGAAAATGAGAAAATATGAACAACAGAAGAAATGGCGTTAAAAACTGAGTCCCGAGTAGAGAGTTATGCCCCGAACAAGTTCGGCTGCAATAGGGTCTAGAAACTCTGAAACTGGAGAAAAATGACCAGAAGGAAATCCCAAGGGTCCATGACTTAACGAAATGTGAAAATGAATCATGTACGAGGATCCAGGCTCCAGACGAGACATTTTGTAATAACTTTCGTTAATTGCACAATGGCCCCTACAAAAAGGGTTAACTGCGAAACTGCCCCAAAATGAAAATATCTTCCAAAAGATATTTTCTTAGATGCCCCTGAAATAAAATATCTTCAAAAGATATTTATGAAAAACACCCCAAGAATTGAGAAAGATTATGAAGAATTGTGCATCTATGCCCCTATGGACACCAAGAGCAACTAGAGTACTTTCTTGCAAAAGTAAAAATACGTATTTCGAGGAAACCACTCAAGATGAAGGCACGTGAAGTCAAAAACTAACTCTGAGAATGAAAAGTGAGGTTTTGCCAAACAAGTGACAAATGGGGAAAAGACAAAATAGGGAAAAAGACGAAACAGGGAAAACGATGAAAGGCGCATAGTGTCCGAAAAGCGAAAATGCAGAAATGACTTGGTCCTCAAAGGAAGTTATCAATCCACAGAAAAGAGTCTCGGAAACCATTTCTGAGCACTTGAGACGACACTAAGCGACAAGAAACAGAGCTTAGAAAAGAAAATTAAACGGAAAAAATTTATCCGTAAAATTTCAAGAAAATAGAAATGGAGGTAAATGACCGGGTCGTTACAAATATAAACACATGAACAGTAATTTCAGATTTTGTTCATGCAATTATATTTAAATAATTTAATTAAATTTCTGGAACTAATCTAGCATATATAGATGATGAATCAAAGGGGAAGATAAGAAATAGAACTTGCCTTAAGGATTTTTTTATTAAAAACCCTAGCCTCCTTTCTCTTTCTCTTCATTTTCTCTCTCTAAACTCTTTGCATTTTCTCTAAAATAAATTACGTTAATAATTTCTAGCCCCATTTTACTAACCTATAGTTATATATTTATAGACTAAATAATAACCCTAATCATTTTCCCAAACTAAGTCTACTTTATAAGGAAAATAATAAAAATAAAAGAAAAAATAAAAAGTTAACTAAATATATTAATATATTACGTATATATATATATATATATATATATATATATATACAGCTATCCATGGATAATTATCCATACCGATTAAACCTCCTATCCAAGTAGTCCATGAAACCCAAATCGTTGGTCCATTACTATTATCCATATCCATACAAATAAAAATGAAAATATAAAATAAATATTTAATCATTTAATCTATAATTAATTACAAATAACCAAACACGTCATTTAAACAAATACATCAATTAAATCATTTAATTCAATTAGACCATTTAAGCACATCGATGTAGAAATATATCTGATTTTCTTTGATCGTCGTGATGCAATTGTATGATCACGATCAAGATTTGAACACCACAACTCTAAACTCACTATGTGTTTATGTGTATGTGTTCTAAAAAGATGACAGATAAATCTCTTGAATTTACTGCAAAAAAAACTTCCTAAGGCTTTTACAAATAATGAAGTTGTAACACTAAAGCCATTAACAATGTAATACCCCTAATTTTAAAAGGATAGTCTCGGTATTATTTTAATTATTTTAATTGCAATTTTTATTATTTATTTGATTATTTGACTATTTGATTACGTGTTTAAATTGAATTTATTATTTAATTGTAAAAAAATCCAACCAAGCGTGAATAACGAAAATTGATAGTTGCCAATTATGTAGATCAAATTGTCCTCTTCTTGTTCTTGTTTTTCCTCTTCTTGTTCTTGTTCTTCAAATCCCCTTTAATTTGAATAAGCTTTCCACATGTTTGGTCAAATGGAGAAAGTGTGGCTTTACATCTAACAACTCAGACAGTTTGCATACCCTCAATGTTTTCCTTTCCAGATTATAGTATAACAATTCTGATAATTCTGATAATCTTGAACTTACTTTTATTAAAATTTCACCAGTGTGGATGGTACCAACTGGTGTTAAAAACAGTTCATTCTCATCCGCAGTATAACAAGATGGAAGGATGATACTGTGCCTACTCCACACTTGCTTGGTGTAGTCTTCTAATATCCAAATCGTTGTAACACAAGTATCAATCAGAGCCAAATGTTCGCCGACTTGTATGGAATAAGCAATACTACGACTAGCGGTGTCCCGATCACAAAATCCAATTCCAGTCGTCCCTTGGGGAAGAGGTATTATTCCGAACTTCTCATTCCTTACCTCGAAAGCTACTATCACTGGTAGATCGCTCCAATCGTTAATCTTACGAGACTCGTTAATCTTACCTAAACAGTATATAACATCGGCAACGTAACAAAACTGTCGTTCAACATAAAATCTGTTTAATTGATGCGGGACAGAATCAATGTCTCTCCATGAATGATCTGTACCGAGAGTCATAATCTTGTACCGGACATCTCCAATTTCCAGTGATCTGTCCTTTCTTCGGGTATTAATGCAAAACATGCTTACAACTTTGTATTTCTTGGAGGAAGAATCAAACCCTAAATAGCATTGCGAAAGGGTTTTGTATTTGTTGACACCCAATGGCACCACTGGCATGATATCAGCGGTCTTCATGGGTGGAAGAGCTTTGCTTTCTCTTCTGCTAGGATTCAATATACTGTTGCTTGTACAGACTAAGCCATTCACGGACTGAATAGGGGTAGGAAACCCTGATTCATCCGTAGGATTCTCCAAATTTAACTCGTGGTCGTGGTCGAGCTCGGACAGATCTAGAATGTCAATGGCAGGGCTTCCTTTCGGATCTACAGTGCATAGTGTGACAAATGCTGCTACGAGAAGGTTGATACGGCCGGGCTGAGTCTGGGAGAAAGAATGATGTAAATCAACAAACAAGGGATCGTCAATGACGGAGCACCACAACTTAGAAACACACCTCAATCTCAGCAAAGTTTTAACAGGAAGATGCTTCAGTATCTCCGAGATAATCTCTCTTGGAACTGTCATCTTGTTTGCAAGCTTAGAATTTTCTTCTAGGATTGCAAGTAAAATACAGATTGGCGCGCACACAAATATATATAGCTAGGGTTACCTGACTTTGGGTAGGATTGTATTTTCAGAATCGACTTTGGTTGGGATTTTATTAAAACCTAGTTTCCTTGTCCTAAAAACTTGGGAGAGAAGGAATAAATATATTTATAATTATAATAGAGAGAACCTAACACCGTAAGAAAAACAACCAAGGAAACCTATCCACCCACATAAGGAAAGAAAAATGACCAAAATTAAACTTTCCACCAGAAAATATAGAATATGAAAATTCTCACGCTAAAAGATAGAATTTGGCCGAAAACATCAAAACCTCACCCAAAAAAACACTGTCTCGGCCCGCTTAGCCTTATATATATATATATATATATATATATAATTATCTCTTCCACACCAATAACCAAGAAATTTATTCACATTAAAGACTGAATTAGAGTGGATTTTGTTTGATGTGGTAGATACTTGAACAGAACTCCATTTTTTAACAGCAATCACAATGCAAATAAGTAGAATGAAGAATACCTTGACGTTTGGTAGATTTGGCAATGATGAACAGATTCCGATTGCAAACTAGAAAGAGAGGAAATCAGTTTTTGCGAGAGAAACAGAAAAGCAATGGTTAATTTTGGGGGAAAAGAGCGTAAAAAGGCCCTAAAATCAGGTGGACATTAACGGCGCTAAGAAACACTTGCCAGACCAGGCTTGTTTAGTCGTTAATGGGCTTGGCCCATATTTTTAGGCTTTGTTCGTTGCCTTTCTCGTCCTTGTCTGTGGGATTGTTTACTCCTCTTGGGCTGGCTTGTTGTTGTTCCGTTTGGTGACCTTAGCCCAGATTTGCTTTTGAGCTTTTCGCCTGTGTCTATATTTTCTTTTTGTCTTGTTTAAGAAAGTTCAATTATAAATAAATAAAATGTATAAATAAATAAAATATTCACTAAACCGACCATGCCATGTCATCGGTATACTCAACCAATGATAATTCATCATATGAGGATTGTTGAAAATAAATTATTAGATGGTTGCGGACCATCTAATACTAAGTGGACTAATTCAATAAAAACTAATGTTGATAATTCTTTATAATATATTAATACACTCTTGAGAGACATAAAGTCTGAATTGAACTGGTCTACTAAGTGTCAATAGTCCACCACCGCCTAATAAATTTCTCGTAGTAAATTGGACCACTTCCATTGTAAGGTGGATTTTCATTTGTTGACTTGTGGTTGCTTCACACTGCTCAAATCCAGTCCAAATTGATATCGATTGGAAAATTTTCAACTCAAACCTAACTTGAACATTAAAAAGAGTTCTCTCACTGAATCCAAAAGAGTTAAAACTAAGGGTATTTAGGGATTGCTTAATTTGTCACTCAAAAAATTATTTTTAAAATTTTAAAAATATTAACTTTTTTTTTTCAAAGAACTATAGAAAATAGTTCTGTGAAAACAAACATGAGTTTTTATTATTGAGTTCTTAAAAAATACTACATAGTTTTCAAAAAGCTAAACCAAGCTGAGTTTTTTTTACCGCTTTCTCATTTTCAATTATGTGAAAACATAAAACAGTTTTTTAGGTGACAAACCAAATAGACCCTTGCATTGTCTCTCCAAGTGGCACCCTAAAATAGGCTTCCAAAAGAGTTATTAGTTACATTTAAATTATATTTTTAATTGTAAAAAACATGTTAATGTGAGATGCGATATACAAAAATAATGTTGAAAGTTAAGTCCAGTTTGTAGTTACACGAGTTCTATAAATTAGTCGGACCAAATGTAATATTATTTATTTAATTGTGGCCCATATGATTTGGACATGTGACGTATTAAATAGATATCAATTAATTATTCCTAGTCAACTTATAATTATCTTTTTGGTAATTACTTATTGGAGAAGTGTTTTCTTTCTAATTCCTTACTTTGATGAAAAGTAGAATTATGTTACTAAAAGGAAAACTGGTCCTCTCTTCACCTTTATAAAAGTGCATATATACAACACGTGAAAGTTTTAGATATGCAAGAGGCCAAGAGAGAGAAACCAGTTTCCGCCTTTGGTTCGTGATTAAATGATCTGAACGTTGGATTTAATCTCAACAAGGTTTAATATCATGAATCAAGGTATGTATATCTAACTATATTTATTTATGCGTTATAAGAATGTGAAATTAATTGAAGTTTTAAGATCTAGAAATTTATGATAATTTGTAATTAATGTTTAATACAAATTAATTAAAGTTTACATGTGATATTTGAACCAGTAATTTTGAAATTCATTATTTTTTCATTATCCTTGCATAAATAATATGTGTAAGTTTAATTAAAAATTATATATATAATTTTAATTTATTGTATTAAGACACTACTTTAATAACAGATCCGATTTTATTTTTCTAATTCACGTGAGTAGCGTTTTTTCTTATTAGTATTTGCAGATCTGATTGCATTGATCAGATTTGTTAGCTTATGTTATACTAGGCCTCGTTTTCCGAACTTAATTGTTTTGTTTGATAGTTATATAACTTATATATATATACATATCATAATGAGACAAATCAAGTGACTTTCGTGACTATCAGATTGTCTCCTTTTTTATGTTGATGGTGATGATGTAGAATTGTTTAGAGAAAGGAACTAATTAAGACTGACTTCGTATTGTCACTGTATTCGGTATTGTCTAGGAGTTCTTCCTCAGCTAGGTTTTCCATTCTTAATTCCAGCAGTATACAGAATGAAATATTTGATTATTATTTCGCTGCGCAAATCGATGCTATAAATTGTAATGATGTTTTGTACATGATTAAATATATGGTTATTAATATACATTACAGTACATGTATCTATGAAATTTTTAGACACCCACTAAAAATTTAATTAATTAATTTTGTAAATTATGTATGCATAATGTGGTGGGTAATTTAATGTTGAATTTATTACTAGATAATTAAATATTCATATTATAGAAAGATTGGTTGCTAGCCTAACCATAATGATTAATGGATATTAATTTTAGTGATAGACATAATTGCAATATTTCAGGAATAATGATGCTTATAATTTTTGTAAAATTCATGAATATCGGGTTTATTCAATTATTAGAAATTATTTTCTCAAAGGAATTAATTTTCAAGTGATTAAATAAACATTAAGAGGTTGTATGTCATTTTTAATTGGGTAGATATAGGAAATCCAAGGTAACTTGTCTATTTAATTAATTAGTGCATCACCAATGAAGCTATATATAATAAATACATCTAAGTATCATTTTTTTTTTTTTTTTTTTTGTATTTTGTGGTTACTACCCAAAGGGGTACCACAGTTGTACAATGTATTTATTTATTTTTATATGTGTTGTTATCTCAAAGTATTAATGTTATGAGCATTTACCTTATTATGATTATTTTATTGCAGTATTTTTTCCTGTTTCAGTGAATTTGCATGCTTCATCTGTTCCAATTCTCAATGGGACTAACTTCTCAGAATGGAATGAGCAAGTTCAGTTCAACTTAGGTGTGCTAGATCTTGATTTAGCATTTCAAATTGAGAAATCTACTGCTATTACTGGTGAAAGCAGTGAGAAAGAAAAGTCTCTCCATAAAGTTTGGGAGAAATCGAAAAGATTGAGTATTATGTTTATGCGAATGACTATTGCAAACAATATCAAAACAACTCTACCCTAAACTGATAGTGCTAAGGAATATTTGAAAAATATTGAAGAATATTTCCAACTGCAGATAAGTCTCTTGCAGGGAAATTAATGGCTGACTTCACTACTATACGTTTTGATGGTACTCGAAGTATGCATGAGCATGTTCTTGACATGACTAATCTTGTTGCGAAATTGAAAACTTTAGTGATGAATGTGGATGAAACTTTTCTCGTTCAATTTATTCTCAATTCCTTACCTACTCAGTATGGGCCATTTCAAATTCACTATAACACTATTAAGGATAAGTGGAATATGAATGAATTGGCCAGTATGTTAGTTCAAGAAGAATGAAGGTTTAAGCAATAAGATAATCATAATGTTCATCTCATGACTCAAGAAGGTAGAAGGAAATTTGGGAAAAGGCCTGAAAAAGGCATTAAGCAAGCAACATCCCAAATAAAGGATTCTGATCAAGCTACTCAAACGAAGGAACGCAAAAATGATAAGTGTCATTTTTGTAACAAATCTGGACACTTTCAGAAAGATTACATGAAACGTAAAGAATGGTTCGAAAAGAAGGGTAAGCCTTTAGCTTTTATATGTTTTGAATCAAACTTAATTGAAGTTCCTTCTAATACTTGGTGGGTTGATTCAGGCTCTGATGTTCATATTTCCAATACGATGCAGGGATTCTTTTCAACCCAAACCACAAATCCAAATGATGATTTCTTGTTCACAGAGAATAGGGAGAAAATTCCACTTAAAGCCATTGGGACATTTCGTTTAGTTTTAGATAGCGAATTTCATTTAGATTTGTTTAAAACTCTTTATGTTCCTTCAATTTCCCGTAATTTGATTTCTTTGTCCAAACTTGATGTTGATGGTTTTTCATTTAAATTTGGTAATGGATGTTTCAGTTTTTTTAAAAAATCCCAATTTGTTGGTTCTGGTATTCTTGTTGATGGTTTATATAAGATAAAGCTTGATGATTTGTTTTTTGAAACACTTTTGACCTTGCATCATAATGTTGGAACCAAACGTAGCTCAATTAATGAAAATCCATCTTTCTTGTGGCATAAAAGATTGGGTCATATATCCAGTGAAAGGTTAAAAAGATTAGTAAAAGATGGAATTCTTTGGAATCTAGATTTTACTGATTTTATTGTGTGTATGGATTGTATTAAAGGTAAACAAACCAAATACACAAAGAAAGGAGTCACAAGGAATATAGATCTTCTTGAAATTATTCATACAGACATTTGTAGACCTTTTGATGTTCCATCTTTTAGTGGAGAAAAATATTTTATCACCTT